TGACTGGTAGTGATTGGCTGTACAACGGCGTCGCCTTGACAATTCGATGACAGTGTTTCTGACTATTTTTGAGCGCCATGCAAATGTTTTGAGCTACTGCTAGTTCATGCATAATAGCTTCGAATACGCGTAGCGCGTTGCAAACACAGTGTAAATATCTAACACAGTTGTAGACACTTCGATGCCGCTTTGTCGAAATAGTTTTCGTTGATCTTTGGCTGAATATTTGCGTGTAGTTGCGTAAACCTAGCGTAGATGAGGGAAGTGACTTGCAATCCGAAAACATTGCTTTGCATGTGCTTCCGAGGGTACTGCAAGATGAGCAGAGTGACTGGATTTTCCTGCAAACGGAAACGCACAAATCTATAAGTATTTCATGGGTGACACAAGCAATGACATGGATCCGGATATACAAAAAAAACAACAATAGGCAGAAGGTTGCGTGCAACAGCAGCCGACTTGCGTGGCATGGTCACTGTGCTGAGATTAACAGCACGCCAGGTTCTTTCACCTCCACAGCAAGCGCTGCAAATATCAACAATGGGAGTGATGCAAGGGTATCACTTGCAGTAGTTTGGCCATTTGCATTTAGCTGAAGATCTATGCGAGATTTCCTCAATCGAGCACTAAAGCATTCGATATCGACAAGCTATAAATGCGGTAGGAAGGTATATTAGAAGTCAAAAATATTGTTAGAGCAAATACCACACATTTGGAGTGACATCGGCGACCTGAATAGGCAACATGATCCCCACCACAATTTGCCAGCCAAACGAATGCAGAAATGTCTAAGGTTGAGCCATGACGCTACTTCTCGCTAAGTTTATACGAAAGACTCTTCGTTGAGCATCTCAACGACGATACTTCAATGAATGTGGGATGCGCATTGATATTGCCACGAATGTGTAGAAAAAACAATTATGTTCTATACACTTGATGGGTGGACAGCATTAACAGATAAATGCGTAGCTAGTTTCAGCACGCTATACCACCCAGGGCGAAGGTGCTGCTTTCCATTGAAGATCATCACCGTTCTGGTTGATAACGCAAGTGGTATAACCAGTTCGAGCTCAGATGTTGTGTTGAGCCAGGAGCAACAATGACACACCCACTTAGTGAAGTTACTACCAGGTAAATCATTACTAGGTCAACTACAAAACCAGCGTTAGTAAAATAGTGAGGATGAGGAAACATGATTGACAAGTTAACAGCTCGCTACACTATCCGGTAGCAACTTGATCTTAGCCTTACAAGTTGCCATAGACTAAACTAATGCAGCAGGGATGTCTTCGATGAGTTGCGTCCGTTCATCTCTGCGCTGTTGCCACTCCCTCCTCACCTCAGTTATAGTAGCCGGAATAAACGCATCATCCGGGCGATCTGCCGCTTGATATGCCTCGAGCCAACGTTCGTGAATATCTTGCAACACGTCCACAGCGGTTTCCATGCTATGGCTAGTGTCGGCGTCTCCTTGATTGTAGAGGTTTCTCTCGACACCGTCGAATTGCCCAAGCCGATGAACATTTCGTATGGCCTCCAAAAAGGATTCAATCACTGTCCGTTTGTATGAAATCGCTTGTCTGCGCGTCTCACTTGCCCCCATGGATTCCAAATGAAAAGTGATCTAGTGGTAATTAGGTTGCACCTCTGGTGCAGAACGATGTGTTGACGGTAAAGCATCCTATAAAACTCTAAGAAAGTTGCGCTTTGTTGAAGACCTTTGTGACCTGTTGTCGATCATTATACCATACCCGAATTAGTACTAGTGCGTTTGATAACGACGAGTTATGAATGAGATCGGGCGGCGGTAGGATGCTAGGCCAAATATCAAACATTTTGGACAGAATTCGTTGGCCTTAATAGACTGTATGACCCCCCCCCCCCAATGAATAGGCTGCATGATTTCCACAACAACATGCCAGCCAAAAGAAGGTGGGTACACCAGTTGTTGAGCCACAGCACTACTGGTTGCTGGGTTGGTACGAACTACTCTTCGTTGAGATGCTCAACGAAGATACTTCAACGAAAAGATGTGCATCAAAACGTGGAAATGGATGCTTTCGTTGAATAATTTAATAGTGTAAATTTAGGTAAGAAAGCTCCGATTGTATGTGCCTGCCTATCGCAAGCCAATCTACACGCATCGATCATCTTTTGCAGCCTCATTCTGCCTTCTCTTGATCAACCGTTTGCTTTCTGTTGCTGGACGAACACGATGAACCTTCTCAAAGCAAGACAAGAAGGCGTTCTAAAGCAGAAAGAGGAAGAAGCTGTGAACCTATTCTCGCGTGTGGGCGATTTTCGTGAGTTTATTACGACGTCTCAGCCGGCTGCTGCTGTGACTGTCACGCTCACGTGTTGCTGCCTGTCATCGGAGCGTGTTAACGGTGGGCGTGGCACGCGAGTAACCTGTGTGG